AACTATATTACTATATTCATAAACAGTGTGATAACGTATTCTAATGTCACTGTGTTTCCAATTTTTAAGTATTCTTTCTCCTAAATATAAATTAATGTGTAATATTTAATAAAAATTAAAATTATAACATAAAAAATTAACATATACTTATTACAATTAAAACATTTGCAAATATATAAATACTCATAATAAAATATGATATTACTAGAACAAAAAAAGTGAAGCCTGAACGCTGAACCCCTAAACCTAAAGCATATACCCTGAACCTCTAATATTATATTCCTATTTGTTTTGATGCAGTTGATTAACCTTTTTTTCATAATATTAATGTATATTAATATTTAATTGTATAATAAATAAATATTATCCAATTAAATAATATTTATTTAACATTATTAAGCAATGTATCTTGTAATTTATTAAATATACAAAGAATCAATTATACATACAAATTTTATTCTTTGTATTGCAGTTAATAATATAAGAAGCGCTATGTTATCAATACTATTAATGCTTTAATATTAAGGATTCCATTTTTCCAAACGAATGATACATATTTATATATTTTTTCTGTACTTATTTTTCTAAAAATATATATGATTATTAAGGTGATACAGATTTTATCGTATGACTCTTAAGAGTAATATAATTTTATCGTATAAACATTACATTTTAGAACATATCTATTAAATATTTGATTATATAATATTTACTAATTTATATTTCGTATGCAGTACACTTGTATTTATAATTCTCAAATATAATAATTATACGATAATATAATTTAATAAGTCAAGCAAAACAGTCCTATGGGGGAAATTTTCATTATATATTAAAATTCATAATAGAACCAAAGAAAATATATGTATATCGTTACGCGGTGCTTTAGTGAATAAACATTAAAAAAGACATTATATATAAAATTAAATTTTTTTTTAGATAAAATATAATGACACCTGGTGAAATAAATGAAACGGTACCTTATTAATTTTCGGAATATATAAATTACTTAATAATACTTGATCAATATGGAAAATTTGAGTATAAAATTTATTTTTTCAGATTTCTATAATATATGGATTCATCATTATTTATATATTATTTATTAGTATATTAACTGGAAAGATTACATCTTCTTTAGGGATACTATTCAATCTTTTCAAACATTTACACAAAATTCTAACCACATTGATAGTTTCATTAAGCACAATGCAGTTCCCCTAGATAGTAAAGAACGCCATAATTTTATTAATATTTGTCATGAAATAAGAGAACTTTTTAAGATTATGTCTTCTTATAATCCTAGTAACAACGGGAAATGTTGTAACTATATTAACTACTATATTAGAGACCAAATTAAAGATCTTTTTCCTACAAAAGAAAATGGTATTTTTGAATATTTTAAGAAATATGTTGATATTAATAAAACTGATTTATCTTATAAAACATGCGTGTCGGAAATAAAATATATAGAAAAGGAAGAATTTGATAAAATTAATGAATTATTTAACCTATATGATCATTATGAAACAATTTTAAATCCGGATTCAGAAGGTAATAATGATCCTAATGATTGCAGAGAATTAAAAGAATTCATTGATGAATATAATGATATTATCCAAAAACATAAGGATGATCAACCTTTCCAAAAAGTGTTAAATAATCTCAGATGCTCAATTGAAAATAATGAGTTATTTAATAATAATTGCAAAAATGAGTTATCAGAAATAATAGAAAATGAAGATAATCCATGGAATAAAAATGAATGTAATGAATCTCAAGAAAAAGAATATTTAAAGAAATATTCAAATCCAAATTATTCGTACTTTGGTACAACTACTTATATTCAACCTGTTAATATGAATGTTATAATAGCAACCACACTTAGTAGTGTATTTTTAGGAACAGTACTTTATTATATCTATAAGGTTAAATAAAATTTTATTTAAAATTTTTTGTCTTATACAGATAATATTATTATATATTTAAAAAAAAAAAAAATGGATTCATCAAGTAATTATAGTTATAAAACCCATATATATTTTTTAATATTAGTTTACTGCATCAAGAAATTATTTACGAAATCGCTTTCCAAGAATGAGAAAAATGAATAGAAATATAAGTGACGAAACATACCAACATGAAATGTGTAACAGAAAACATTATCTAAGGGATTTGAAAGAAAAATGTTATAATGTATCATATGTTTCAGAAAAAAAATACTAATATGCTTATTTAAAAAGATGATGTAACTTTTATTTAATCATAATTATACTACTGAATATTGTTTAACTAAAATTAGATAATTCCATATTCATATATGTATGATACTAATAATGGTACTAAAAAAATAAAATAAAATTATATAATAAAATACAATATAAAGGAAAAAAATGATACGAAAATATATAAAATGATCTAATATATAAATAAAAAAATGAAAATATAAAATAACACTAAATTTTACTTATCATGAATTTCATGTTAGTTTGAATGTTTATAAAATATAAAAAATACAAAAAAATCAACATTTTTACATTGTTTTAACGAAATTTTTCAGGATTTATATCTAGAGATTTCTTCTATTATAATGATTTTTGTTGCTGTTATGATTTTTTTATCCTTTATCATTCATTTCATATCTGAAAAATATATATATATGTATAACAATGATATTTCCTTTTATAAAATATTTTCCGGATGAGTGTATATGGTAATTATTTTTTTTTTTGTGATTTATGTAACAACTGGACACAAAATATACAACAAATATTATATTTTTTACTGATGTTATCATTACTACATGAATATATTTTAATAGAATAAATGTATGTGTATATATATTTGTACATTTTACACATGCCTATTTTTATATATTTGTAGTATAACAATAACTTACATTTCATATTAATTTAATTTGTATCATTTTACAAAAATATATATTTAAAGCAGGCGCTATAATATGAATTGTATATAACATTTATTCATTTATCATTTTTAGTTTTTTTATGCATTTTAATTATACTGTCAAATATTTTACAGATGAATAAATTAGTTGTAGTGTAACATAAATCATACAAATATTTTGATCATTAAGAAGTATATAATATTTAGATGTTTCGTATGACTAAATTTCAAGTAAACCTATTTAAATTAATAATATAATTGCGCATATGTATTATGCATTTACAATAATTTAATATTTTCAATTCTACTTGAACCTGGACATAATAATTTTTATTTAATTGTGGAAATAAATTCACATAACATAACTCTTTATAACATCACAAAAAAACTTTATTATTTATATCTTAATAATTTTATCAAAAACATTTTTTTTTTTTTATTATTGAATCAATGTATGCGCAAGCATTTTAAAAATAAAATAAATATATACTTAAAATGATAAATATACTTTTATATATATTCCAACATATTCCTCAGCAATATAAAGGGGTAAAAAAAGGTCCAAAACATATAGTAAATGTAGATCAGTAAAAAAAAATCATTTACATCGCGCATACTAAATACAAATATATTTATATATATAAGGCATAAGAGATTATGTATATTGGATAAAATGTAATATATTGTTTATGTAGAACAGTATAAATATCAATTTCTTTATTATTTTATAGAAGAATATATAATTATAATAGTAATATATATATGTTTGTATGTAGATTATGTAACGATATAATTACTGAATAATAAAGAATGAAAACATTCTGCATGATAATAATTGAAACTAGGATTAATTTTATTTTTAAAATTTAATACATTTAAAAAATACGTACCGAATTCAATAAAAATAAAATAACCTCTTTTAAGGATACCTTCACAAATTCTTTTGATGTGAGTATTATGAAATAATTAATAATGATAAACTGAGTAAGCTCTCAAATGTTATGTAACATGAAAAAACAATTTTTATATAGATGGTTTAAAAAAGTTAAAATATAATATTTACAAAATTGAATGTGCTTAATATGTTCAAATACCATCATAATCTAAGTCAATCCCAATATGAATTTTAATTTTGAGGAAAAAATAATTTTATATAATCATTGACATCATTAATGCTCATAAGCTAGTTATGATGTCATTGGATATTTTTCATCATACAATGTAAATTATTACTAGATAGAAAATACAAATAATATCACATATAATTTTCTTAAAATATGCTCATAAATTATTAATAAAGCATTTTAATTTTATTCATAAATAAACATAATTATTAATCAAATGTGTATTGTACTTGCGACCATGGTTTAATTTTAGTAATAGATAATTAACTAAGATATGAAACCTATACGTATAACAAAATAACAGAAATTACATTAATAAACAGTTTTGGGAATAGGAGAACAATCATTCCTTATAGTCAATGCAACATAGATTACATGCATTTAATAGATTATTAAATTCATTATAATAATAATATGCATAGTAACATTAATTCGTATAATTAAATAAGTATACAAAAAAAACCACCCGTTTAATATTATTATTAAATCAATTAGATTATATAATATATATCTAATTTCCTAAAAATTTATATATTATATATATGTTTAACATAAAGTCTTGAAGATTTAAATATCATTAAAATCCAAAAATAATGCCAAAAAATATGTGCTGAAAGAGAATTAAGAAAAAAAATGTTATATATAATATACATTAATATATTATAGTATAAATAAAAATAATATAAAATCTAAATTTGTGAGGATACTTTCTTACTTAAGGTTTTTCATTATAGGCTATTCTTAAATTTAAGGTATACATGATATGTTTTATTACATAAATAATATATAAATTAAGTTTATATTATATCGTTGCATTATTATAATATAAAATAACTCTTTTCCATATGTTTATTTTTTTATAAAATAAAGACTATAAACACTATAATTTTGATTACATTTTTATATAAAACCTTTTAATGTTGGTATATATTAAATAAAAAGAAGAAAATAAAAAATTCGTATTCATATTAAGTATGTTAGGAATTATTTGTTAATCTTGCATAATGAATTACAATAAAAAATATGAATGAAAATATGATACCAGCTATTGTATCCCACAGATATTCTCAATATAATGACACATTTATTTATATTAAATATAACATATATATATTTATATTTTTAGAAAACACTCTATATTAAATTGGAATATTTATAATAAAAAAAATCAAAATATATAGATTTCTATATTTCATTTATCATTATACTGTTTATATATATATCATAATATTATGAGATATATATATTTATTGTATATTTTTAATTCATCTTTTTGTGTATTTATTTTAAAGGTTATATATTATATTACACATTTTATAATGTTCATATTATATACTTTTTCTAATATATATGATTTATTTTAAAAAAATTTTATTTATATATATTTTTATATATTATGTATCATTTATTTAATATAATGATTTATTATTCAAAATATATTTTGAAGTTTAATATTATATCAATTATACAATATTAATAAATATTGTAATAATAACAAATTAACTTCTTAATTTTTCCAATTATGTTGATCAATAATTTTATCATGTATAAGAAATTACGAGATATAGTATACTATTATTCATATTATAATCAATACAGTTATTATATCCTGATGTGGTATATTATCTAAAAAGAGAAATTTTTTTAATTCATATAATCATTTAATCAAAGATCACTTTAAAATTAACAAAGTAATGCATTCCTATTATTTTAAAAATATCCTAATATTATACATTATTATTTCGAAAAATCACTTTTATTAATAATAATATTTATACTAAACTCTTTTGAGTGATCATATCATATATTCATTAAATATATTGTTAGTTTATGTGTTTCTAGTATTAAATATTAAATCAAAGAAAAATAAGATATTAATACAATTAAAAAATATATATTTTATGAACACAGAGAGAATAATAATATAAAAAAAACTATATATTTTTTTGTACAGTTTTATATATAATGTAAGAATAAATTTATTAGATATTAGAATATTCTTATTTGATATAACATATAAATATGACTTTTATTATTTTTATGAGCAAGAATATGAATAAAAAATATATATAAAAAAAAAGTAAAAAAAAATAATTTTATTTTGATTAATAACTTATTAAAAAATAAATTATTGTATTCTAAAAAAAAAACTTTATAAAAATTAGGCTATTCATTTTATTAGCATTTTGTATCATTTAATACAAATAATATTATAGTATTATATTTACAAAATCTCCGAGTATATAATGTATATAGAAAATTATCACTATTTTTATTGCATTTATGCTTACTCTTATGATTATGAGCTAGTAATAATAGAGAATGTGCATATGAAAAAAAAAATCTGTTTCTTAAATGTATAAGATAAAAACAAATAAGAATATATACATATTTAAATTATTGGTTATAGTGAATCATATTCTCTTATAGATTATATACACAATTAAGTCTATGTGTATATTATATATCATTTTTAAATATTATTGCTTAAATTGAGCTAAATCATAGAATTATAAACAAAATATTTTTTACATAAGATTGTACATGTTATAATACGCGATTATTATGAAATAAATGTAAATATCTTATTAGGGCGCTAACACATAAACAGAAATTAACACATGTAATAAATATTCTATTCTGTGTTTATGATAATATACATAAATAAATCATTTATTTATATAGGTAATGATTATTTTATTATAAAGTAATTACATATAATAAAATTCTATTATATAGCATTTTTTACTTTATATTATTGCATAATATATATTATACGAAAAAAAAACTTTTAACATGTATTCATATAAAAAGTTCTATCTATAACAATAAGAACTATAAGTATTACAATAGTTTAATGCATAATGTGAATAAAAAAACAGCAAAAATATTATTTTTGATTGCAAATTTTATAAATTATGAACACTATCACATGTGGTAAAAGATCAATATTTTTATAATACACTTAATATGTAAAATTGTATAATACAAGAACACCAAAAATCATATTTTTTAATCTTCTTCAATAAATCATCATGGAAGACAATTATAGAGAAAATGCAGTATATTATATTTTTTTTTTTATATTTTATTTTATATTAGAAATTTTAAAAGAATGTAGATTGTAGAAACTAAGCAATAACTCCTTTCATAACAAATATAACGTAATAATTTTTACATACATTATACATTTATTTTTAGTTTGATTTTAGAAATATATTTCCCCAATGTCGTTATGATTTTAATGGGTTGGAATATGGAACATTGAGGAAACCATGGTTAAATTATTGTTCACCGACATGTAATGATTTTCAACATAGAATAAATGTTTCTAATGGTGTTAGCGTTATCTTTCAAACACCTTGTATCTTACTCTGTATGTATTTAAAATATATACAGATCCATGAATCTAGTTCTTATTTTAAAGTAAAAGCAAGTTGCAAATATTTCTATTACAAATTAAAGGAGCTAATGAAAAATTATGGGGGTAATTGCAAATCAACAAAAGATTGTTATGAAAAAATGAGAGTAAAAAGAGAGCTCGTAACTAGAATGACTGTACCAGATGTATGCGTACGACACCTTAATGATATTGATGATATTGATGATGATACATATCATAAATTTCAGTATTTACAAAAGCTATATGATATTCAAGACAAATTTACACATCCACGCGTTAGCTGTCATATTGTTAAGAGAACTATTAAAGATTATGAAAATCATTACAAAGTGTATAATAATGTAAATAACAACCAAAGTTTTAAGGAAGAATTTGAAAAAGTTCATCCTCAGTACAATGATTATCGCCAGAAAAGGTCTGAATGTTTTTCTTCACCAGAACGCTTATATTCCTCTTCAGAAGCAGGTGCAAGCACATTTACTGGTATAGGTGTTTTAACCATAGCAATTTCAATAATTATTTTTATTTTATTTAAGGTTAAAAATAAATTTATTTAATATAATATATATAGAATTGAAATTTATATTACACAATATAATATATAGTTTATATCCAATTAATAATCCTTTTGCAAATATAAATTATTGTTTTTTCTTATCAGTATACAAGTTATGGCTCATTTTTACAACTAATTGTAAGAAAACTAAGGAGAAGGATGAAGAAAAAATATGAGCATAATTCATATTTAAAGGATACATTTGATAGAGCATACCCAAATTCAAATCAGCGAAACTGTAGAATAACATATTATTTAGAAGACTAGAAAAAATAAGTGCATAATACTTATCAATGAATAAGGAAAAATAAATGTTTTTGAGAAAAAATGTAATTATATATTTAGTTAAAAAAAAAAATACTTATATAGAAAAACAAAAGTAAACGTAATAATAAAATCATAAATATAACTTTTCAACGTTTCCTATAATTAATGAAATATATATAATATGAATTTTTAAACATTGTCCCTATAAAAAAAAGAACTAAAGCTACTATCAAAGAAAAAATATATTTACAATATATAATCATATATTAACATTTGTTTAACAATATTATAAAAAAGTTTAATTATAGGGACATTCATTTATTATATATTATGTATGTTCATAAGTTTTATTAATTTTTAACTACTTTTTATATCGCATTTCCATAAAAAATGAAATTACTCATGAAATAAATATAGATGAAAAAAGACATATTCATTAATATAATATAACACATTTTTTTATATGTAACATTTTTTTTAATAAAATTTCTTAATTTTAGTAATTATATACTTATATATATGTATTAAGCGGAAAATTCTTTTAACTTTTTACAGGTTCTAGTATTTCAAATTTAGGATTAATATAATTGTGTTATTTAAATATTATATACTAAACGGATAAGAATTATTTATACATAAATTTAAGTAGTTCTTATTGGTACAATTGTAATATAATAACATTAATAAAAGTAAAATATACATAGGTAATTCAAAATATAACTAAATATATCATGTATGTCATATATTATCATAAATTCCTTAAATAGAAATATAATTTGAATTCTTTTATTATATATATATAAATGCTAGAATTATTGTGTATTTAAATTATATAAGTATTATTTTGTTAAATACACTTTTTAAAATTATGATATTTAGAAGACAATATATATATAGTATATTAAATTTAAGTGCATATTCTCAAAGATCACTGTATTATTCTTTGCTATAAAGGTACCATAAACAAATAATATTATAATACATAAGCATTGATAAAAATATAAACATAAAAATTCATGTTATATGAAAAACCTGGATGCATAGTAAATGATTTTACCAATCATTAAAAAACATAATAGAAAATTCATAATCTAATCTATATAAAACTTGTTTTTTATACAATAAAAAAATATATATAATATATAAATCGGAATTACACTTATAAACCTTAAACATATTACATTATTAGAACATAATTCCAATAATTTTATAATTAAATTCAAATTAAAAAAATTCAGTAATAGAACTATATGTATATCTATTCACTGAAATACATAATATAAACATCATATTATATATATACATATTTTATAATAATTCTAATTTATTTATGAATTTTACTGCAAAATATAATCTTTTCTAAAATTTCATGATTATATACAATTTTCATTCATTTATATATATAATATGTCATAATATATACAGTTATATACTGTGTATGCATAATTTATTTGTATAATACATACATAATTTTTAATAGTAGAAAAAATATTTAGAACCCTATAATTCATAGAATTACAATGCACTATTTATTTGTAACATTGAATTAATTATCTTTTTCAGAATACATATTATATTGTTTTTTATTTTAATTTTTTTTATGAATATATTTATATTTAACAATATAACTAAATTTTTTAACTGCAGTTGTATCAGGTTTTATAAATTAAATGCATCAAAAATAAGAAGAAAAACAAGGAAAAATTTTAAAATGATATTGAAGAAGACAACTTGAGTATATGATTCTTAAATTTCTCTTGATATAATTGAATAATTATTAAATAATTAAACAATATTTCACAATAACATTTATATATTTTTTATCTTACTATATTTATGAAACAAAATAATGTATGTGTAATATGTTATAATAATTGATGATGATTATTTATAAATAATATATAAATTAATATCTAATTATTTTTGCAAAGAATACATAAGTATTTTTTCTATTTTTACCTAATTCTAAGTATATTATGCAGTGATCCTATAAATTAAGAATTGCCTTTTGTCATATAAAATCCATTAAACAATAAAATTTAATATACTTATATTTCTTTAATAGCTGTTACAAATAGCTTTAAGCAAATAATATACAAATAAATGTAACTATATTAAATTTTTATAATATAGATCTCATATTTATAAAAACATAAAATTATGTTTTGTATGTCTTTATCGAGATTGCCATTGCTTGGTAATGAAAGAAAAACTTGTTATTAGTTAGTATCAATCTATATCATATACATGCCTATACAACATATATATGTAACTCATAATAATCATTAAATCTCATAACATTGGTAAGCAAGATATAATTTTATTCATATTATTCCTCGTTAATCTTTTCTTAATATATCATAAGAACAAGTAATTAATGGACACCCTGCTGCAATAATCTAATAGTAACCTAGTTCTATAATAATATTATGTATGTGTAGTTTAAGCAGAACATACTCTAAATATAATATTTACATAAATATGATGCGCAAAAAAAATCCTTGAAAAATAAATATATTTTATTATTCTATATTTATTTGCATAAATATTCTTATGCAATAAATATCACCAAGTATATTTTCTTTTAGAAAACATATCTTTTCAGAATTACATATATGCTATAATATAAGCTTAAAAAAAAAAATGATTTAACAATAGTTGAAATGTACTGTATTAATTTTGTAAATACAAATATATATTAGACTAATGTTTTAATAAATTAAATTTTTATTATTTGCTTCTTGAAATATCAAATTGAAAAATAGTTTTCTTTACTATCAATATGCATGTTACTTGTAGGAATGTTTTATATATTATAGTAACATTTCAAAATTAAATGTATTGATAACAAATGATTTAATTGTTTTCTTAAATATTTCGTGTAAAATTTATTACATAATTTTAAATGTAATTATAACTATGGTTATATATTTTATAAAAATATAAGATTAATACATAATTTATTTTTATAAACTACATATATAAATTTGTTAACTTATAAAAGGATTAATAAATCTTCAATTTCATGTAATATCTATTATAATCAATATATCATAGAACAAAAAGACTTAGAAAATAAATGTAATATTTTTATTTATTGTGATATTTAAAAAAATATGAGTTCATAATAGAAATTTGAAAAAACTTTTCTATTACTGTTAAAATTTTTTACAGTGTAGTATTATTCTTTTAATATACTTTATCATTTTTAAAGATAAATATATTAAAAAAAAAAAAAAAATTACGATTTAAGATATGAATTAATTATTATTTTCACATTTTACTAAATAACATTCAATATTATATATAAGACAAAAAAAATTAAATTTATTTAATATAAAGTATTATACATGTGAACAGGTAAAAATAAAAAAATTTTAAGCAATTTATAATAATTCGATTAAGATGCGAAACATATATGGCATATATTAAATATATTTTTCCTCATTATATTTTTAAAGTAATAAAGTTCTCATATCAGTATACATAAAAAAAATAATATGTAAATAAAAGTATATAAACATTAATTATTCTGGTATTTTTTAAAATGCTTTCAACGATACATAAAAGTAATAATTACCTAATATTTTCTTATATAATATTTCATTATAATAAAAGAATAAACTATATTTATATATATAATTTTACAATTTCTTATTAATAATAAATTAAAGTATTTTAATATATTAATTATTATATTAATAATTACATATTCTATACAATGTTAATATCTATAAAATTGTTACTTCTAACAAAAAAAGAATCATTAATATTAATTTATAAAATTATTACATAAAAAAAAAGGCTATATAAATATATATAAAAAAAAATATATAATTTAAAAAATTCCCAATATGAATTCCCCTTATCAGAATACATAAATAACAATCGAATATATTTTTTAAATAAACATTCATGCATCACCCTATAATATCATATTATTCTTTTTGAATATATTTATGATATTTTTCACAAATCACGAATAATAAATGATGTAATATAATAAAAATATATAACTCCTATATTATAGTAAACTATATTTTATATAATATTTTCTCTAATTATATAATACATTTTAATTAATATTATATACAATAATATTATTATAATATTTTTGATGCATATTAACAAATATACCCATGTATGAGCATAATTCTAATAGAGGCATATTTATACACACATTATGCGTGTATTTTAGAATGTACATAATGCCATTTATTTTACATATTCTAACTGATATATATAATTATTATATATATTTTAATTATTTAATTAAAATATATTTTTATTTATAAGATTAAATGTATTATAATATGCTTTTGTCTTAATAAAAACTATTACTAAGAATTTGGAGGTTTAATACATGTTTGAATTTTATTTAATCTATGCCTAATTTATTTTCCCTTACTTTTATATATCATTAAATAATGTGTATTTCTTTTTATATGAGTTACAATATTCGCAAAAATAATTAATTATTTTAGGAAAAACATATAGTTCAATAGAACGGATTGCCATTTATTTCAAACATTCGACTTATATATTAGATAAGAGAATTAAATTTTAGTTAATTTTATATAATAATTTATGGATCCCATATTTGTGAAAGTATTTGTATTGAAATATGGTTTAATTTTCTTCTTACGTTTTATTTACTTAAATATGATTTTATTTGTAATATATAAATATATTTTAAATAAAACATATTTTATTATATAGTATGAGAACACAATAAAGTAGTGAATAATTAATATGAAAATACAGAGACATAATAAAAAAACTAAAATTATTATTACATATTAAAACAAATAAGTATCATAACATTTAATGCGGTAATTCATTCCATAATATTCACTATGTTATGTGTATTCAAAGAATTATAAATATTTTTTTACAATATACTTTAATCAATGAATATTCATTATTAACATGTAATAATATAATTGAATATGTAAGAAGTTTAATATAATTATAAATTATATATATATACATATAACATTTTCTTGTACATATAGATATTATATATATATATCTTAAACTATATACATTAATGAATTAGTTTCATTTCATATTTAACAATCTCTGATTTTAAAATTGTTAACAGGATATTAAAAAAATATACATACGTATTAATATAAATACTATTTTTAAAAGAAATATATTAATGTATTTTAAAATTAATGATAGAATACGAAATATATGTGATATATATTTTTTTTTAATATTGTATCAATTTAATATTCATAGAGAATATAATTATAATATATCATTTGTTTCTTTTTTTAACGAATATAATGTCAAGTGATGTAAGTGATAAAACCGTATTGTTATATACTTAAAAAAAATTGAATAATGTATTATTATGTGCATAACCACTTTGAAGAATTTAACAATAAATCTAGATATTTAAACTTTTTATAAATATAAGTATTATTTATAATTTATATAATTCTTCATTAGTATTGCACATTGAAGGATTACAATGATTTTGAAAAAATAATAGAAGATACTCGAAATGTTGCAGATAATAAGAGTGAAGTTGATGAATTCCTCAGATCTAAATCTATTATTATTGATAATACGGATAAAACTATGTTTTATGATGTATGTAAGAGAATAAATGAATATTTAAAGTATTTTAAAGCAAATGATTCATGTAATAACAGTAAATGTTGCAGTTTTATTAACTACTGGTTAAATAAAGATCCAAGAATCAGATTTCATGCACAGAAAGAAGGCGTAATTAAAAATCTGAAGGATTATATTAAATATAATAATTCTGGTTATATATATGATATATGTTTACCGAAAATAAACAATATGAAAATAGAGTTATTCGAAAAAATACAAAATTTATATGATATGTATGATTTATATGAGAATTTTCTTGAATCAATTAAATATAGTATGGGAAAATCATATACATGTAAGTATTTAAATGATTTGATTGATAAGTATAATAAAATAATGGAAACTGATATCGGAGAAAATGATAATTTTATTCTCAATGAATTATATATTATTAGATGCCTAATTGAAGATAAGTTGTTGGGACCAAATAAATTTTGCAAAGAAAACTTACATACAATATCGGATAATATTAAGTCTATACCCTACACAAAAAAATGCAATGTACATAAAGAAAGGGAACACATACAAGGAGATTTTTTGAATTTTGAAGCCAATTTTTCTACACATGCTACTTCTTATAATAGCATTATGAAATCTATAATAGTAACATTATCTGTTATTATAGTTATAGGAGTAATTTTTTTGTATCTATGTAATGTTAATAAGAATTCTATTCATAATTTAAAATTATGTGTCTTTTGTTTTTTAAATATATTTAAAAAATTAGTTCATCAAATATATATACTTAAGAATTCATTAAATTATCTCTCCTATATTAGTTTACAAGTTTCTGGAAGAATTGGCGTCTTTTAATCAAAAGAAAAAAAATAAAGATAAAATATTTGATGTACAAATCAGATCAACATCAAATACAGAAACCTGAGAAGCGTATTCTTTTTTCGGAAGAAAAAAAGTATAACATATACATCTAAAATATAATCACAGTTTGCATATGTATAAAAGAAACGACCACTTATTATCAACTATTCGCTAATGTAGAATAATTAGTTTTACTGTAAAATAAAAATAAGAATGTATAATAATATGTGTATAAAGAAAAAAATTATTAAAAAAATATATTTTTTTTTTAATACAATTTTTAAATATATATAATAAAATAATATATTATAATACAAATTAACAGAAATAGTAAAATAATAAATATGAACATGTATAACTATATGAATATCCATATATGTTAAGGATTTCTAGTTGATACTCTTGAGTCTATGATGATGGGTTCCTTCTTGTATTATTTTGTACATTTTATTATTATAAAGTTAATATTTATTTATATATATTTCCTAAATTATTGCTTTTATATGATTATAAAAAATTCATTTTTATGTAAATTTAAATATTATTTTTATTAATACTATACTGCTACAAAATTGCACATATTAATATTTATGAATTTAGTTTTATCCTTATCACATAAGTTAATTTATATATTTCTAAATATACATTAATTATTATATATCAATATACATATATTTACATATTGGGCTAATTACTATTTATACACACTTTATTATATGTTGTAGTAACAAGTTTTTTTAATAATTAAAAAAAAAATTTATTAATTTTTTTTTGTATTCTATATATATAATCATATCATTTATGAAATACGTACTCATGAAAACGTAAATTAAAACAGAAAAAACATATAATATATACATATATAATCATATTCATAAATATAATTAAGAGAGGAAATAAAATTTTTTTTGTATAATAAATTACAAATTATGCAGGAAACAAATAATTTTTTTTAATTAATTACATAAAAACAAAATAATACTTTTTTTTATTTTTTTTATGTAGTTAAAGCAGACGTTTGCTTTCATTAACAAATAGATAGGTTATAATTATTTTGTTTGTGTGCAGAAAAAAATAACATAGAATATATCTATATTAGTATGCATATTTTAAATACCTTTTTCTAGATTAACATATATTTATTAATGTTATTAGTAACATTATAACTCTTCTTCTTATTATTATATTTCTAAAAAAAATTACTAATATAGTGATAAAATAATACAGTGTAATATATAAAAATGAATATTCTATTAAATATATCATGTATTGTTCCAGAAGTCATTCTTATACTTTTAATTTCAAACATCGTTCTTATAAGCTCACTAAGAACTTCTAACATTTTCAAGATATTTATTAATAATATATTTTATATCAGATGAGTAAAAAACATTACAATTCCATTATAAGAAAATTAAAGGAATGTTTACCAAATCAGTCACAACATGTACATTCTCATATATTTCTAATACATAGCAAACAAAATGTTTTTTTCAAAATTATTACAATATCATAGATGCCTTTTTTTTTTAATATACATATATAAACTATATTACATATTAAAATATCAATTCAATTTATTTATCACATAAAGCATAATATTTAACATAGATATTTCTGTACACCAATAAAAGTATAAAATATTTTACAAAATAAACCATTTGCATATACAGAATTCATAAACCAAAAGATATTATTATACTTCATATAGTTAAACATGTTTGAAATATCACCAAATGATACAATGATTGAAATAATACTAAAAAATAGAATAATCAAATATATATATATATATATGGCATTTATATAAATATATAATTTAATTATAGAATAATCTACGATATGTAATATAAAAAATTTATTTTATACCTTGAAATTACGATTATTACTCTATATTTGTATTATTTTGTTAAAAATTTATATGATTAAAAACAAAATATAAATAAATATTTCATGACATAGCATACATTGTGAAAAAATATATAATATATATAAGTTGTAATTTCGATAAATTTATTTAATACATATATATATGCAAATAGATTACTAAGAATTCTATATAAATATGCTTTTATAACGCACCAGAACAGATGTTATTATATATATATATATATATACATGTATTGAATTTTATGTGCACATTCATAATAAATTTATTACAGTGCATTAGTATTATGTAACATAAAGAACGCATTACGATCTATACATTATTCTGAATATCATAATATTTCATATTATTTAGATAAATATTATTATTTGTTAATACAATTAGAAAACGATTATGCATTCTAAATAATATATATTTCTTTATTATAACATTTTATGCAAATAAATTATAAATTAATAATATTTT